AAGCTACATCATATCCACCCTGAGTTTGACACTCTTGGAGATACTCAAGAGGAGTGGGATCGCTTTTGTGAGGGTATGAAAGAGGCATGGGCAGCACTTCCCGATAGACTGATCAGGCAGCTCATCTACTCAATGCCGAGGCGCCTCAGAGCCTGTGAGCGAGCCCAGGGTTACCAGACTAAATATTGAGACTCAGAGCATTCAATTGCTGTAATCAGATTCAGTTTTCACCGTGTGGTTATTGAGATATTGAGGTGTGAATATTCACTCAAAAGTCAAGATTGCGGCCCAAGCTTTTAGCGCGAACAGACTTCTGTCCACTCACTGTAGTAAATGTGTACGTTAATGACACCGTTCGCTAATTCCGGTAGCCGCAATGACCAGTACTCCTCTCCTTTGAACGAGTATTGGAACATAACAGGAGTGCCCTTGTTGACGGCTTCGGTCCGCTCGATCACGCCGTGTATGTACTTCAACAGCCAATCTTATCTGTTCTCCCCACGTCTGCTGCGTACCCTTCCGTGCTAAGCATAACATCAGAAACAGCAAGAACTCAACTCTCAAAATCCACACAGCGGCATGAATTGACGACAGCCATTTCCATTGGGACTCTCCAAGCTCCGATGTAGCCATACGTAGCCTATATCCATGTGTGCATTCACATTCGCCTCTGTGAAACAGAGATGCAGAAGGAATAAGGTGTAGAAGGAGAGAAATAGCCCTTTCTTATACTTTGCTACGAATAGATACGAGCCTCTGCGAGTTCAATACTGCAGATCCACACTCTGCCAGTTCCAACGCCCATACCAACCATGGTCCCGCACACCGTTGAGCACAACGGTCGATACTCTGATGGTACCCACAGCATGTTCTTGCCATCATGCTTAATCCATATGTTATCTGAGCTAAGACTTGTGCCTAGGTACAGAGGGTGCTCAGGTTCCGCGATTGCTGCCTCGCTAGAAATTCCTGAGCTGTGTATGGCAATCGTACCTATCTCAGTACAGAGGCAAGAGTTAGTGGAGTCAAAGGATAGTTTACGAAGACCCCTGCCGGTGTTAAGCGTTTGCAGGCATGCGCCGCTGCTCGCATCCCACAGCTTGACGGTCTTGTCGTATGACGCCGACGCCAGCTTGGTCGAGTCGTGCGAGAAGGCTACAGAGATGACGATACTGCTATGGCCCGTGAACGTCTGCAAACAC